ATTCAAGGACCATAAAACTATAATCATAGTAAATTTGGTTATATTTTTTTAAATTTATTCAAAAAATATTTATTAATTATATCCATAAAAGGTTTTCTTAATAAAAAAATTAAAAGATTTATTTCTTCCATTATTCTGCCTTTGGGTCAACCGGTTTAGAAGGCTCTATTAACCCAGCCCAATGCTAATAATTAACCCCAGCCCAACACCATTAGATCTAGGCTATACGGAGTATCTAAGTCGATCGTTTAGGCTAAGCGTAGGAAAACCATCCATCTTCCACACCCCTGTCAAGCGGCGACCACTAACCACCCCATCCCGGTCTAGACGGATGACTTCACGACGATCTCTTAGTTGGCTGAGCTCCCAGGCCCTAAACTCCCCACTCCAAGATGATAAGACCCCGTTTCTATACAATCTTCCATGTCGTCTACTCCGGCACCGCAAACGTATTCAATACTCGAATACACCAACCGCTCTGATTTCTTCGTGGTGAGCCTCGAAATGGTCAGCCACACAAATTGGAAGAATAGTGAAGGTCATCCAAAGGTTTTGCTTGGAATCTCCAGTTCGGTAAGTGCATGGCTGTATTTCGTGTATATTGTGTTTCATTTGATCCCAAATTGCCTAACTCACTCTTATGAGTAATAATTTAATTCTCAGGTGTTTTATTTCGAGTCTGTATTCTGATAAATTATTTAGTTGAAGGTTTAGGTCAAATTTATACCTGAGATGAACAATATATTCATAGTAAACCTAAGCTAAGTATTACTTCAAGTATATGTTTTATATTACTGATGCAATTTATAAGTACAGGACAATCAGTAACTTATAATTATTACACTTATTACTAAGTTAAATCTGCAATTGGTAATGTTACTCTGTGTTTGGAAGGTAAGCTACTGTGAGTATCAATGAAATTACTGAGAAAATGTCTATTCAAACCAATCTTTGAAAATAAATGGCAGATCCTTAAATATTTAGCTTTTAAACATCAAATGGTAAAATGCTAAAAAATTAGCTTTTGAACATCAAATGGTAGAATATTTAGCTATTCATACTTTTTAATGCTCATCATTTTATTGTTTTTCATATTCCATTGATGGTTTCTTATGCATTGTTTTAACAGATGCTTGGAGGAAAAAACTGGAATACCGCAATTTGGGTATAATGCATCCAAATCTTAATATATTATACTGCTTAATGTTTAAAAACTTAACAGTTGACTCAAAATCAATGATTTGTTTGAAGTGACTCAACTCTACCTAATCTGCCCAACCTGCCTAATCATCAAAATCCTGATTATTGGCGTATTCATCGATAATAAAATCTCGAGTATGAAATTACAAACCAATAACCCCCACATTTTTTAATCATTACTATATGATCATTACATATAAACTCATGAGTTCAAATAAACTCTAGCTATTCTGGGATTGGCTAAACTCTAGCTATTCTGGTTGTTTTTCTCTTATAACATAGTTTCCCAAAAATGAAAACAATGATTTCGGAGCGTAGCTAAAGTCTGCCCAAGCCTAAGTAACTCAAAGTACTTTTTTTTATAATGTGATCTCTTTATTAAAATTTTGGTTGTTATATGTAGTTGAATAAATTCCTTCATTGAATTAGTACAGATAATGCGATCTCTTTATCGAAATTTTGGTTGTTATATGTAGTTGAATAAATTCCTTCATTGAATTAGTACAGATAAAAATGAATGCAGGACAGAAGCCTTCTATTTGGGTTTGCATGAGCTTCTACTACTTCTCTCAATAGTTTAGGTTGCCCATGCTTTCAAATTCCCATACTTTCAATAGTTGAATGCTTGTTGTATTCAATAGGGATAATATGCTTGTTGTATTCTCAGAACTTTAAATGAAACAGAAGAGGCGGGAGGATTTGGTGGTGTTCCTTAAAAATAAGGCCTCTATATTTATAGAGAAACATGGATAATCCTTCCTAAAGAAGTTTTACATCTCCCAATGACCAGCTGGCAAGAGTTTCCATATTTTTTTTGTGGAAATAGTGTGTACACATGCCCCAAGACAGAGGTTGCCCTGCGGTTCATTGTTCCAGGCCATTTTTACCACTAAAGTGAGAAATTTGTGCATTTAGTTTACTCATACACTATTACAGTTGAGAATTTATGAATTAAGTGTGTTATTATCATATTCTAAATACAAAGTTGAAGCCTGCTACTGCGCTGAGAAGCGGCATCCCTGAGAAGTCTGCAAATGCGCTTCAGCGGCCGCCACACACTGACTCTGGAGAAACGGTGCTCAGCTTTGACGCCCGGACAACTGGAGAACCATCTCCGATCAGTTTTCCTCAATATAACATCGGGATTTCGCTGGATTTGATGATGAAAGTCCCTGATGGGAGATCTCCGAAATGATGCCCAAGCAGCCGAAGCTAGACCTCCCATCCCTCCCATCCCTCTTATTTCTGCTTGTTGATGCGAATGAATGTGAGAATTGCAGTGCATTATTCATGCTTTTATAGGTGTAAAAGGCATGTGCATCCCATCTACATTACTCTGCGCACCTTCAAAGCTACCAATTAAAACAGACTCAACACTATGGGGGAATAGTGCACCTCCTTTTTTAACCAATAGGAACGCATCCAATTAATTTGAGCATGTGCACCAACACCTTTTTTCACCAATAGGACATGTTAGGAGTTTGGAAACACTATTCTCACCACCCATTCAACCAATAGTATTTAAGTATTTGAAACTGTGAACAGTGCTCTACTTTTTGTTAACCAATTGGAACACACCTAAATTCACATAATTTCCCTGCACATGATCCCCTTTAATGTGAAGTGTTCGCACCTCTTTATTGACCAATAGGAACACAACATCTTTTACACAATTTCTTTTGCAATTATTCTTTATGAAAAATAAAATAAAAATTGATTTTGTAATTGTTTTTTATGTTATAATGATAAAAGGCATGATGTTGACATAAATGGGAGGGAACACTATTCACAAAAACTGCTCCTTTAGATATTAATAGATTAGCAAGTTGAATGAGGGCGTTTGGTTAGAAGCCAGGAGCCTATCAACGCTGATTTGACTACAATTTGGCTGTTTGACCAGATGTTTGATAAATGACTGTTTCATTTGACTTTTTGTCCCAAACAGTCAAAATCTAAAACGCCACAAATCTAGCTTTTACGATTGGCTTTTCCGTTTTTTTTTTGCTTTTATTCCTAAATTACCCGCATTCTCGTCAAAGAGGAAAAACCAATTACGTTAGGAAAGCCTTTGTAGATCACTACCAAGTAAAGAAAATCCTCTTGCTGCTATTGTATTGGTGGAACCATTTTCAACTTTTGGCATTTCTGGAGAATTGGAACTTCCATACTTCATGATAAAAGGCGAGCCCGTTTGCTTCGATCATTTGTGACGGGGTGATATCTTTAGTTAAGTCTAGTCGCCACCCTATACTGTAAAATACAATTGAATAAATTGAACTCAGTTTGTATGTATTGCGTTAGGAGGATGAACGAAACTCACAGTGATCATTAGTATTTTTTTAATTATGTTGAGCTTAATATTCAAATACATTTATCATTTTTATTATACAACTCTTTTGGTATATTTTTATTTATAATTCCAGTTATTAATCAAAATATCATGATAAAGAAAAATCAAAATATCAGCATACTGATTATTAGTTGTGTTAATAAATTTTTCATTTTTAAATCTTTGAAATTGTTTAAGTAATTTTACTAATTATATCAACAACAAAAAATTGAAGTCCTTAAAAGTCATTTAACAATTTATCAGCTAATTGTAAACAGCCATTTAATTAACCAAACAACATTTTACAAACTGCTAATAGAATCAGCTTATAACCAAAACAGTCAACAAAATCCGTCATTATCAATCAGCCAACACAATCAAGTAACAACTAACAACCAACTCCCAATTGCCAAACACTCCCAATTCCGGGCCGCAATTTTTTAATATCAGTATTACAATATAGTTACTCTGATCCGTATATTATACTACGTATAATTGTATATAATATTAATAGGTAGATATTTTAAATCATATTTTTTTATATATGAGTACGTGAACACGTATTTTTGTCAAACTATGTGAGTTGTTATTATATGTGATTTCATTTTTATTCATATATGGGACCTCAATTTTGCATCTACAATCGGGGCCTCCAAATTCATTAGACGGCCCTGTGTGTCACGTATATTCCTATAATTTTAATTAATCCACTTAGGACTCATTTGGTAACACCCAAATCGGCTGAATTGGCGCGCTGATTCTGCTGAAACTTATGAAGTTTTGGCTGAAGTAATTGTAGTAGCTGATTTTGCTGAAAGTTATGAAGTTCTAGCCGAAGTGACTTTGTGTAACATATATTCCTATTATTTTAATTAAGCCACTTAGGGCCCATTTGGTAACACCCAAATCAGCTGTATTGGCGCACCGATTCTGCTGAAACTTATGAAGTTCTAGTTGAAGTTACTGTATTAGCTGATTCTGCTGAAAGTTATGACGTTCTAGCTTAAGTAGTTGTATTAGATGATTCTGTTGATTTGTGGAGAAAAATCAAAAATATATTTTATTAATAAAATAAAGAAAAAAAATTTATGTAAAAATAGCTAAAATGATCATATACAATATCTTCAGACAGCCATAAAAGTAATTTTAACCACACTTTTTCTCATTTTCAAACAATTCAGCGTGTCAAATCAAAAGTTACGTGTTTAGTGAAAAAATTGAGTGATTAACTAAAAAGAAAAAAGTCACGCGATTACCAAACGGACTCTTGATATATTTATCATTAACCAAGTTTTCAAATTCTTTGAACGTGGTCTTCCAAAAAAAAATCTTTGAGCGTTGGCATATTCAAAAACATTCTTTGAACGTGGCATGGCAGGCTTTAAATGGTCCCTTTTAATTTGGAGATTACTAATTTAACGTATATTCTTATCTATATATAGGGAGTATATGTTTAAGTCTTTACAAAGGGGTGGGTTCTGAGTGTTACCATTTTCCAATATAGCTGCTTGGTTACAGTGGGTTCTGAGTCTTTCATCTTCGTAGTTTTGTGTTCGGTCTACTTTCTCGAGAACAACGTCTTGGTCATGTCTCGAGCTTTATTTAATTTTCTAACATTGTTTTGTAGATTTCCGACGACAACTATCCAACAATAAAAAAAAGTATGTAATCGGAAAAGATGAACCACTTGACACTTCCATTGGGAAAACCGCCCCCTGACCCACTCTACTGCCATGCCTTTTGAGCCTACACCCACTCATGTAAAGTCATTTTCGGACATCTCAAAAGTTGAAGTATTTTCTACTGTACTAAAATTCAAGAGGTGGCAAGAACGTATATTCTCCACGCTAGACAATATGCCGGATCAGAAGACAAAAGTCGGTGCCAAAATGTTGCCACAATGGACCTACACGAACAAGGTTTGTCGCCGTACTATTCTTAGTACTTTATCTAATGAGTTGTTTGATGTCTATTGCACAAACATAGTGGCGAAGAAAATATGGGGTTCCATGATAGCCAAATACACAACTGAGGACAGTGTCAAACAGAGCTTTGTGATAGGAAACTATTACAAATGGGAGATGAAGGATGATAGAGATATTACAACACAAATCCATGAGTACCTGACGCTACTGGAACATCTTAAGGGCGTCCAAATAGATCTACCAGAGTCATTCATTATCGGGATCCTAATTGAGAAGTTGGCAGAATCTTGGAGGGACTACGGGAAAGACCTTAAACACAATGTTGGGTCAATGTCGTTCAATAATGTCATCACCAATATCATTATTGACACAATTCAAATAGGAAGGCCAGGAGAGTGCCAAGAGTCAACCAAACAAGTTTACTTCAAATGCCAATTTGGTGGAGACAAAGAATAAAATTAAAAGAGGTATCCTAATTATTTAATAATTTTAATTATAAGTCTAACTACTATAAGCCCAAACAAACTACCCCATTTAAAAGAAAAGGGTGATTGTTTTGTCCGCAGGAAAAGGAGACACCATGTCATTGGGTGTAGGAAAAGAACATTTGCGAAAAAACAAAAATCCACCAAAACCAATGACAAACTTAATTAAAATAGATAACATAATTTGTCAAAGTTTTAATTGGTAAATTTTTTGTTTTAGGGACCAAGTTAAGACTGTTTTCGAATTCGTAAACATTTTTACTTATATTTAAAGCACAGTATTTATAGGGATGCACGGGAGACCCATTCATCTCTTATCCCTTCCAATCAAAAGAATAGCGAAAGAAGTAAAATATATGAAACAAACGATTAAAAGTATGTAAGAATATTTATGTTTTTACATTACGTAGTGTATGTTAATAATTATTTAAAACGAAAGGTAAAACGACAAGTGTATGTTTATTAAAATAGTATTTGCCTCATATAGGACTAAAAGATGGGAGAAAATCCAAAAGAGGACCATCTATGTTTTTATTCTGAAATGGGACTGTTTTACTCCTATTTGAAAACGTAAGGAATTTCTCATTCCATTATTACCCCTGCTGTGTTAGCCGATAGATCCAAGCCTCATAAACAGATCGATTCTTTTCTCTCTCTGTGGCACCACCAAACAGATCGATCGATTGCTTCTCTCCGCCCCACCTCTTCTTCTTAGTTGTCAACAGATCGATTGCTTCTCTCCATCGCACCTCTTCTTAGTTCTCAAAGATCGATTGGTTTCTTTTGCCTGCATTTCAAATCGATTTCATCAACAACTAGCTTCATCCCTAGCCGCCGAGTTGCCGACGACTCCACCGCAAGCACGCCGCAGTTTGACCAGGTTTCTTCTTCTTCTCTTCTTCTTCTTCCCCCTCCTCTTTCTCCTCTTCCTCCTCCTCTTCTTCCTCCTCCAATTATTCGAATTTTTGGCTTTGAAATTACTTTTTCTAATTTTTCCTTCCTTCCTCTATTTATTTTAGTTTTGACATTCGATTTTGTTGATTTGTGTACTTCTATTTCAAATTTACGTTTCTTGATTTATTAATTTTTTGAAAAATTCCACTGTCCAGATTTTTGGATGAAAACATACGATTTTGCCATGTTTATGGCAGTTTTTTGGATGATGGTATACGATTTTTGCCATATTTATAGCAGAAATGTAATCTGACAATCATATTATGGCAAAACACTTTTGTGAAAATCAATTTTTTATTTTTATTTTTTGTGATTCACTTCTTATTTGTGATTGAGATGAATTTGTTAAAGTCATTGTTCTGTTAAAAATTTTGGGTTTTCAGAAATTTAGTTGTGGACTTCATATGTTGCCAAGATCATGGCAATTTTGTGTAAATCTGTGAATATAAATCTGCCATCATTATGGCAGATCTAAAAATTTGTTTTGATTTTTCTGTTTTTTTATCAATAGTTTCGTTTTCTAATTTTCGATTGTCTTAGAATGCTTATTCGATTAAAAGATTAGTTGTTTGAGTATTTGGTTATTTATTTCGTGCTTTTCTATTTTTGCCAAATTTATGGCAGTTTTATATTCCGTATTAATATTTCAAGATGAATCTGTCAACCCTTTGGCAAATCTGAAACCCTTGTTCATGGCAGGTGTGAATCTAATCTCCAACAATAAATCTGCCACTTTAATGGCAGATTTATTCCGCCTGAGTTAACAGTGGTGACGGTACTCAGAGAATGGTGGCGGCGGACGACTCCGGTCAGATGGTGATTGCGGCAACGCTGGTGAGAGGTGGTGGCGGCGACGCTGGTGATGGATGGTGACGAACGCCGGCAAGGATGCGGCGGCGGCGGCGGCGGCGATGGCGGCGGCGGCGGCGATTTGTGGTGGCAGGTTGCGCCGGCGTGGGGTGGCAGGCAACAGTTTGGCTCTGGCAACGACAGTGCTACTGCTAGGATTTCACAAATCTTTTATTTTACACTTTTGAAATTTTTAAAGTTAAAAGAGGGGTAGTTTTGTCCAAAGGTACTGAAATTGGTCCTATGAAAGTTGTGTTTCGTTTGTGGTCCTAAATGTGCAATTAACTTTGTTATTAGTCCTATTTGAGTCATTAACTCTTATTAAAAGTATGTAAGAGTAATTATGTTTTTATAAATAGAAGTAACTACACTTTTCTGAATAAAATACATCTATTTTTGAAAGTATATACGAAGTAACATCTTAAGTGGTGTGACTATATATAGTAGTAACTTTAGTAAATATTCGTAGTTTTTTGCGTTCAATTTTTAACTTAATGACAATCACATTATACTCAAGTAACATTAGTTATATTTCCAAAACTAATTTCTGTTTCAGTACTGCTTTGAAAAACGCTCAAGGACAAGGCGTACAAATAGTAGGGTGAGTCGATAGTCATAGAAATATTTGTTCCCAATGAATTTACAATCATTTGTCAATTTGGAGTGAGTTGGATCATGGCTAGGCTTTTTACCTCCTCCCTACTAAAGCGTATTTACATGAGGCGTACCATATACGGAGTACTAAGTACATAGTACTTTGTACTTCTATTAGTTTTATTTATGGCCTGTTTGTTAACATAGAAATGAGTTAAATTTGTTTTTTTTATTGAAATTGATGACGTTCGGTGTGAAACAGTTGCATTATAGAAAAAAACATATACATATACTAATAACATAAAGATAAAAAAATTATACTCTGCATGAAAATGTAGCTAAAGTGGTTCCAACTTAAATGCTTTAACGGATTCAGCTAGAATAGTGTAACCCCAGCGTTACTTATGGCCTGATGTTAACACTCAAATTGGCAGAATGGTTTGATTTTTTTTGAAATTTTGGGAACTTTAGCTGAAGTGAGTGAATTAGCTTAAATTTGTAGAATTATGGAAAGTTTATGCGTAATACATAAAATACTGTATTTATACGTAGTACATGAAAGTAGCTAGTGTAATCTACAAAATGTGTCAAATCTCTCCATGTATAAATTTTTTACGTAGTACATGAAATTAGTGTATATTATTGATTCACTAAGCCTCCTACGAAAAAAAATCAATTGCAAAAAAAAAATCAGTATTTTTTGTGTTGATTTAGGAATTTTAACAAAGTCACTTGTATGCTCAATCACATTATTAATAAGTGATTTTTAAATTGTTAAACTTGTTTTTGGAAGGATTTTAGGCATGAAAAAATATAACTTATTAGAGGGTTTGACAATTTTTTTTGAAGTGGATAGAATAATGTGTAGAATTTATATGTCATACCACAACTCCAAAAGAGAGTTTTGTGAACTAAACTCATACCGATTATTTATATGCACGCAGAGTGGTCAGGTGATGGAGATAATGCAAGAGAGGTTAATGTGACAATTAGAGGTCATGGCTATGGCTAAGGAGAGATTGATGAAGAACTGAAAGAAACTCGTCATGAAAAATTTATGGCCAGAGAAATGGAAAAGAACGACCTACTAGAGAAGGTGCTCGCGGGCTACCGAGACCTCTTTATGAAACTGGAGCAGAAGTTAACGACTCTGGATCACACCAACGATTCTCTAAGGGCGGGTCTACACCAAACCCCTCATACAAGAAGTTAAACACTATGGACCACACCAACGCTTCTCTAAGAGTGGTTATGCACCAAACCTATCATGCCCTGGACCTACCGGACACATCAACAACCCGCCATACAGTACGAATAGTCAACTGCAGTCCAACTCATCCATACTATACTAGGCATCTTGAATACCATTCGCACATAGTACATCCATAAACAAACATAATGTAAAATATTCATTTAAAGCAGCAAAAGTAATATAACAAGTGTTCAAGCCACACTTGGCAAACATGGGCATACAAGCCCCCAAATAATTATTCAGAAAATAATACCCATGAGCATTAATATAATTGTTTTTAAAGCAGAAACGAAGGAAGCACGAACCACGTCTTCTCTCCTTGATCTCCCCGAAAACAACGGCGATGGGAGCAACCTTCAAGTTCTACCTGAAACTGTGGGGTGGCCTCCCTCGTGAAGGGGAGTTCAGTACTTTGAATCATTTGTAAAGTACAATGACAACTATACTAAGTATAATCGATGTTTCAATTTCTAAGACCCTCAATCTAGGGTGATATTATATTATAGGTCATAACCTTTTATTGAGGTTTATTCCTTCAACCTTTGGGTCCAACACGTAAGCCCAAAGATTTCGAGTGGATTTTGAGTATGTGAGTAAATAAACTGATCCAACAAACAAGTAAGATGAGCTCAGAAAATGATAAGCAAATAAAAGATCTGATATTATTAATGTCTAATAAACCCCCAAAGCAATACGTTTGCTAAGGGCCGCTGGTCGTTCGTCTTACACCTCGGTAGAAGAGCTGCGAGTAATAAGCTAAGAGCTGAAATTAAGCTAGAGTATTAAGGCTAATCAGTTGTTAACCCTTTACAATGAAATAAATGCAACTATTTATACCACCAATGGGCAGTTGGCGATGCTGACGTGGAGAGCTGTGAATGGTTGATGCTCCAATCACCAAATCTCCAACATTAGACGGGCGTCTCCCTAGGCTTGGGGCCTGCTCCTGGTAAATACTGTAAAGGGTTGTGGGCCGTACATCCTTTGGCCCTTACGTAGAATATGTTAATTGGATCCCTCCGGGCGTGGCGGGCTAGGTATGGCGACGTTCGTCCCGTGTGACTTGGGCCCTGAAGCTGGATCAACCTTCTCTGATGGAGATGTTCATCAAGGGACTTAGGTGTTGTTGGGCCTAGACGTTCGTCCGAGGAGGGGTAAATGGGCCGACCCTCAAATGGGGCCATTAACCCAACACATGTCCCCCACTTCTGATGTTCCAAGCATGTGTGGGACATAAGGAAGTAAAACTGCCTTGGTGGGAGACGTTCCTGATCCCGGTGTTCATCCGTTGGTGGCAGTTCCCGAAAACCTAGGTGGCGGCTGCCGCACAAATGGTGCAACTTCCGAGGAAAAGTCATCATTGCGCCTGTTCCTCTCCGCGTGACACATACCCTGGCAGGGGCGGAGCCAGGGCAGTGGGCCAGACTGGGCCGGTACAAAGAATATTTTTAGAAAAAAATTTACACGAAATGTATTACCTTAAAAATTAAGCCATTTTTAAATTTTGGGGTGGGCCATGGCCTAGGTTGGCCCACCCCTAGCTCCGCACATGTACCCTGGGATATTCTCCTCGCCACGCGGCGCTTCCCTATTGGTTCTTCAAGGCAGTGCTTCCCCTTATAAATATTGGATTCCCCAAATGGCTTAGGGTTTCCGATGTAACACCCGGCACTCTCGTACTGTCCTCACAAACCACCACGAGCCTTTACCGCGCACTTTGTCCTAACTCATGCGCGCCCTGAGAAACTTCTCAGGGGGTCACCTATCCCAAGACTACTCCCGTGCAAGTAGGGCTGAGTACAGGTCGATCGGGTTCGGGTGGGTCGGGTCTGCGTACCCTAAACCTGTTCGGGTTTTTAAGTTAAATACTAGGCCCGGCCCTTTGATATTTCAAATCGGGTTTTTCGGATATTTGTAAGTCGGATATTATCGGATATCGGATTGGGTTTCGGATATTTCGGGTATATTAAAAAAAATATAATTGGATAATTAAAGTGTTTGAATGCCACTTTGACAAAAATTCTACAAACTAGTGCACTAAACATTCAAATTACGCAAATAATTTAATACAAATTGCATAAATAATTACACAAATAATTGAACATAAGTATTAATTTAACATATTCAAAGTACACACTACATAATTTAATATATTTCAAAAATTTCGGTTATATTAAAACACATTATAATTGGATAATTAAAGTGTTGGAATGTCACTTTGACAAAATTGTACACACTAGTTCACTACACATTCAAATTACAAAAATAATTTAACACAAATTGCACAAATAATTACACAAATAATTGAACACAAGTATTAATTTAACATATTCAAAGTACACACTAAATTATTTAATATATTTCGGATATTTGGGCGAGTTGGGTTGGGATTTTACAAACCCTACCCGCCACCTGATCTAGGCCCAATACTAATCGGATTTTTGGTTTCGGGTTTTTCGGGTCAGATATCCATTTCGGTTCGGATATTATTCGAAAAAAACTTCGGGTTTTGCTGGTCGGTTCGGGTTTTGCTCAGCCCTACGTGCAAGCACGCTTAACTTTGGAGTTCTTGGGTGATGAGCTCCCTTAAAGGAGATGCACCTCTGTTGGTATGAGTAGTACTATTAATCCGTTTATATTAAATCTCAAGTGTTACAATCACCCCCTGACGAGCACTTTGTCACGGTGCGTCAAAATAATATTCGATACTAGCACTTATACGTAGTATAGGTGAAGTAGAGTTCGTATCCACTGGGAAAAGAATAATTCTCTTTTTAGTAAAACTAGTAATAAATAAGGGGGGTTTTGGGATTGAGTGATTTAATTTAATTAAATACAAAGATGAACGACTTATATGAGATTTAATTCAAAGATAAAAAGGACTTGGCATTGCTGCTATCCACTTGTTGATATATTTTAGTCGATCATTGTTATATCTATAACTTATCCCCTCTCGAATGCTCAATCAAGGAGTATATCCAATTCATCGAGGGTAGTTATTAACAACGACTGTTCATTAATAACCCTTACTATTAGTCAAGTATAGAACACCGCCATATACCGACTTGATAGTAGCATTTAATCTCTTAACTCCTTGATGAAATCAATTGAGATTGATAACCTCAACCAACGGTTTCAGTTTAACCAACAAAAGTAATCCCTCTTAAGTTTATTAACCACGACCGTGCATTAATAAACCGAAGTTACTTACTTGTGAAACCATCAACGATTAACAAGCGTATTCGTCGATCGATTCTAGTAATAATTAATATATGAAACAAAACTAGTTGATCCTTTAAGTAATGTTCAAAATATTAATATGAAATATGAATAGGAATTAGTTAATATTCAAGGAAGAATATTATAGATGATAAATCCTACTATAACTAATGTCAAGATGTTAACTAATTGTCATCTTAGCAACACTCCCCAGCATTAATATATAGAGGAAGAAAATAAATACTACCATAACTAATGTCGAGATGTTAACTAATTGTCATATTAGCAACACTCCCCAACATTAATATATATAGGAAGTAAATGAATACTACTATAACTAATGTCGAGATGTTAACTAATTGACATTTTAGCAACACTCCCCAACATTAATATATATATAGATTAAGGGAAGAATTAATATTCAAGGGAAGAAGTTAAGAAAATAACTCACAACTTTAATAATCAACGAGCTTCGTCAAGAGCAACACCAAGAAATGGAAGTTTAGCTCCTCATTTGGAGACTAAACATGCTATAAAATATAAAAGAAATACTATTCTAAACTGAGCTTAAGAGTATGGAAGAAGGAATGATTATTCGTGAAGAAAAAGTGTGCTATTTATAGGTGTTTTTCAACACCTTGGGCCGGGTACCCGACCGGGTCAAGTGTCCACCCGATCGGGTGCATGTCAAAATCAGATAATCTTCCACGTTCTTGTGTTTCAGCACGTCATTTTGTCCTGGATCACATCTGACCCAGCCGGGTCAAGTAGGGGACCCGACCGGGTCCAGTGATTTTCCAGGCACTTTCGCTTGTTAAATCGTACCCGACCGGGTGAGTATTTCTACCCGACCGGATAAGTGTCCCTGGGCAGCATTCCTCTTGTTTTTCCTCCTTTTCCTTGCCAAAAACTCTACCACTACTTTACAACTTATAAATGGAAGCTAAAAACAATTTCAAACCAAATAAAAACAAATGTTTACAAACTAATAAAAAATGGTAAACAATACACACAAATCAAACATAAAAGATACATTTATGCACTACTAATTAGTGCATATCACCCCCACCTAGGATCGCAACGTCCTCGTTGCGCCGTTAAACCAATCTCAATCAAACCCCGGAATTTTTTCCCCTGCTAAGTGTATGCCCGATATCCAACGGAACAGCACACTATCGCAGGGTTGCTCTGATACCATTTGTAACACCCTGGCCCCGCAGGACCCGAGGTACTTACTCCTACACACCCTACGGACCTCTAGTACTGTCCTCACAAACCACCACGAGCCTTTACTGCGCACTTTGCCCTAACTCATGCGCGCCCTCAGAAACTTCCCAGGGGGTCACCCATCCCAAGACTACTCCCGTGCAAGCACGCTTAACTTTGGAGTTCTTGGGTGATGAGCTCCCTTAAAAGGAGATGCACCTCTGTTGGTATGAGTAGTACTTCTAATCCGTTTATTTTAAATCTCAATCCCGTCGTCTTGCAAGTCTTCTGTCAACAAGGCTTTTGGCTCGTCTCTGCACTTCGTAAGGTAATCTGGTCCTTCTTCCTTATTTTTAAACCCTTTTTAAATTTGTGATGGCGACTTCGATGGAGATTTCTTTGAGTTCCGGCTCAAGCTCTTTTGGCTCCGGTTCCTCCTCCGGCTCTGGTTCTGGCTCCCGCTCCTCTGGGAAAACTAGCACCTCCGGTAGCTCCGGCTCTGCCTCCACCGTTGGCACTATGGTGGTTGATGGTACCAATGGTGGCGTCATCTCCCAAGGGGACGTTATGGTATCAGAGCCGTTGAGCTCTAACCAGCCCTCCTTCCCTCCCGATGATAACTAACGATAGTCAGCCTGAGGTTCTCCTCCAGCAAGGAGACCTCGACAACATCCCTACCAGTACACCTATCACTTCTAATATTCTTTCTACCTCAATTAACGCACCTCTCACCCCAGATGGATTAATTCTGTTAAATCCGAGTCATTTTCCAGAAAAGCTAGATGGTTCAAATTACCTGGTTTGGTGCGATCAGATTTTGGACCTTCTCTTCGGGTCTCATCTTGA